GTGGCCATGTGCTGGGGGTAGGGAACCGAGCAGGGATGGGAAGGTTGGAGTCTCTTGAAATCATAACTGCTTTGCAGTGCCCTCCAGGGCAGGGCTCCGTCTCTATGCACATGCTTCAGCCTTTCACGACGGCGGAAGTACCACAGTGCCGGCATCTCACCAGCTTCTGAGCGTCCTCCCTGCCCTCAGTGAAACAGGGGTGTTGTGGCCCGAATCACAGCTCTGGGGGAACCGGTTTCCTCCAGAGACCAGTCCCCAGCATGGCTTTGGGCCTGTTGGAGAAGAGCCCCAGAGACGGATCTGAGAGCCCTGCGCAGCGAGCATGCAGCGGATGCAGGCACTTGGAAACCTGGCCTCGAGCTCTCTGGAAGTCTGCGCCCGTGAGTCACGCGGAGCTTGACTCTCAGCTGCTCTAACCTCAGAGAACGGAGCCCAGACCCGCGCTGAGTAATGGGACGGAAAAGTCCACGTCAGGTTTGCTATTTTAAAACCCGCTCGAGCACGTGACGTGCGGCACATCTCGGTGTGAATGGGACCTGGCCGGCTCTGCCGAGGGAGCTCGGAGCTGGCATTTGTGCCTGCCCCGCGCTCTTCACGCCAGCTGTCTGCAAACAGTGCAGAATGCTCCGTGCTTCTGGCCACCAGGGCTTTCATCTCAAGGCATTTCACTCCCCAAGGCTCCTGGCTCCCAGCCCACTGCTCTCACCACTCTCCAGACAGCACCCCTTCTCCAGCATGGGGGTTAGGACCTGGGGGGCTGGGTGGTTCTGCTTGTTCCTCTTGCCAGTATTGGAGCATCTTGCTGCCTGCTGTAGCTCATAGGACCAGGCTGTCTCTCACAGCAGCAGATTGGCATTAAAGAAGGTCTTATAGGCATTAGCAACATCCTCCTTGAGCTGCAGCCTGACAGGTGTCTCTGTTCTGGATGCCGGCCACTGTCTTAACTCCACTTTCGTGCCTCTGAATGTCTGCAGAAGGAGATTTCCCCGTGCTGGGCACTGCGGTTAGAAATTGCTAACAATTTCCACTCCGGGTCTCTGTTCTCAGTGGCTTTAACTTAGCCAGACTTGAACTGTGCCTGGGGCGGGAGCTTGCCCCAGACGGGATTTCTTTGTGAACTTGCATTAGGAAACGACTTGCCTGGCGCTGGGAGCAGGGCTGGGCAAAACAGCATGACTTTCCTCCTAAGCTGAAACCAGGGGATGCTTTCTTTGAAAGACTCGGGGCCCTTTGTGCTTTGGAGCAGAAACGGTTTTTAGCCAAGGGTTGCCCTCATATTAGGGAGGTGACTTTTGTGTCTGCAGGCTTCATTTGGCCCCTCTACATGTGTGTACACCAAAAATGACTGATTTCCTCCTGGGCTTGCCCATTGGCTTTGTCGTTGCCCCCCAGTGAGAAGGGGTCGGGAGCTGAGGCAGAGAGAGGGGAGGATTGGAAGTGCCGAGGGTGCCCCAGCCTCGTGCCAGAGTTACACAGGCCTTGCTTTTCTGGATCGCCCTCTGTCTGCTCCAGGACTGCCCCCTCCGCGTGCAGTCAGCTGGAGGGACCTGACCGGGCTCTTGTCTGCTGGTCTGTGGTGGAGGCAGGAAAGAAATGCAGTTTTTCAAGGAAGCGATCAGCTGCCCTGACCCACCCCTGCAAGCCCCTTCCTCTCCCGCTGCACGCCAGCAAGTGAGGCATGGCTCCCAGAGATGACTTCCCCCCGGGCTCACTCCCCGTGGACAGGAGGAGGCAGGGGTTGCTCTGGACGCCGTGCCCAGGCAATGCAAGACAGCACCATGCGGCGTACGTGAGGGGGAGGAGGCTGAATGAAGACCCCCGGAGTGACCCTATTCCAGGCACTTGCGAGCCCATGAGCACTTGACTGAGCAGTGCTGGAGAGCCCTTGTGACACAGGTTTTTTAAGGCAGTTATAGCTGCGCATGGCGATCCAGACCCTGGGTGCTAGGGGCTACATGTGCACAGAGCAAGGACCAGCCGCACCGGGAGGAGTTAGGATCTGAGCAGAGGCATGGAGCAAAGATGCAAGTTCCCAAAGGCTTGGAGTTCATCGTGGCAGGCAGGATGCCCTCCGTGGGGATGCTGTGCCATGCCAGGCTGCTGGGCTGAGTCAGTCCCTGCATGGCACACGGGGTCTGCCGTTGCCTTTCCTTTGTCTCTTCTTTGCATCACTCCAGTTCCTTTTGTGCCTTGGCTACAAGGCCTGAACAACACCCTGGGATTTCCCCAGCAGAGACGGCCGGTCGGGTGGTGCTGACTCATCCCTGGTGCTGCCTGGAAGACACTGGCTCTGAACGTGTGGGCACCACGGTCCCAAGCACTGCTCGTCTGCTTTTCTACCTCCTTGCCTTTGAAAACAGCTCTTCCATCAGCCTCTCCATCTGCTTCAGGGCATGGGGATTGTTTCTGGGGGTGCTTTGAGGAGCAGGGGTCGTGGGCAGGCGTGCTACCCAGCCACACACGCTAGGCTCAGATGGAAACTTCAATCACATGGACCCGGCGCGCTCCGACTCGGCCAAGGGGGGTGGGGGGAGGGCAGGGAGAGGGGCAAGGGATTGCTGAGCCGACGGAACGGGCGGTAATTACCCTCCCTGCCTCGTTCGGGCCTATAATTGTGGTTTCAGGGAGGCATCTCATACTGGAAATCTGCTGGAGCAGCAGAGCCTGGGGTTACGCTGCTGACTTTCCGTCCCTTGGGCTGGGCAGGGGGGGAAGGGAGGGAGAATCGCCCTTGCTGACGTGGGCACTGGACTCCCCGGTGGCGCCTGGGCTGGGGGCACCCGCCCGGGGACGCCACCTGACCGAGCAGGCGGTTCGGTGGTACCCAGCGCACGAAGGCACGCGGGGGGTGAGAGCCGGCTGCTGGGGCGTGTCGGGCTGAGCCTGCGGCTGCTTCTCCAGCCAGCTCTGCGGCCGCCCTCCCAGCCTAGTGATCCGCCTCGTTTGGCTTCTCTGCTGACGAGAAATTACTTGGAATCGAAACAGCAGCACTCCCTGTGCACCCCCACGGCACCCTCAAAATGCCACCCCTGTGATTAGGACCCCGTGCTCTCCCCACCCAAATACGGGCATCTTGGGGGGGAGGGAGAACTGAGGCGTGCATGTGCAGACCTAGCCCGTGAGGCCTGATCGGCCAACTCTGCCCCTTATCTGCATTTCCTTGCACCTCACGGCAGCAGGCATGGGATCATCTTCCAGGAAGGCCTTGCAGACCTACAGGGGGGGGGGGCATTCACTTGGTGTGACCCCCGCTGCAGATGCCTTCATGCCAGTAGAGCAGTGCCCCCAACCAGCCAAGATGCTTCCTGCTGGGGGATTGCAACGGGCACCTTTGCATCCACTCGAGATGCTTGTGCTGCTTGATTCCAGGTGAGCTGGAAACCACCAGCTCTTCCAGCAAGCAGCCCAGGCCTCTGCATCCTTGGAGCAGGAGTACTTCTCTGCACCGATACATCAGCGAAGGGGTCAAGGTGCCTGGTGCCCTGGCTGAGTTACAGCGGAGCCTGGGGTGACCCAGGGGACCTTAGACTTGTTCGAGTCTCCAGGGTGCACAAGTGTTTGGCAATGCCCTTCATCCATTGGGGAACAGGAGCAATAACACAGGCTGGGTGAAGTGAGCCAGGAGGATGTCAAGGGGTGCACTGATAAGACAGCCGGGACCCCACGGTTTAGTAGCTTCTGGTCGGAGAACACTGGATCTCGGTGCTGAGGCTGGGCTCTGCGGGTGGGGAGGCAGTACCCATGCTTGTATGTCAGGTCAGTGGCTGATGAGAGAGTTTGTCTTGGAGGGAGGCCTTGTGGGGAACTGGCGAGGAGGGGATCTGGTGCAGGGGGCACTGGGTGTACTGGGGGAGCTGCTCTAGCAGACACCCCCACAGCCCAGGGCTCTCTGAGCAAGAACAGTGACCCACGGGCAGCTTCACCACTGGTCTGCACCCATGGGCACACAGCAAGTGGCCACAGGACTCTTGTCTCAGATAAGACTGGCATGGGACAGGCAGGCGCTCGGTTCTTTCCCGCTGCCTGCTCTGAGCAGCAGGTGCGGTGGGCCAGGCTGTCCCCAGACTCCCTGGTATTATCAGGCTGCCGCGCTCCCGTGGGAAGGCCTCGGCTTTGCCAGCTGGGGCTGCATGTGTGTGTGTCTGCACACGCCAACAGCTGGAAGGCTCTTGCAGGACAGCTGGGGCTTCCACAGCTCCATATAGCTGCCCTCTCCATTCAGTTAGTGCCCCAGGAGCATCACGCTGCGTTCCCCTGGCCACCTCCATTGCTCAGGGCGTGCGGCAGTGAGGCCTCACTCTTGTCACTGCTCTGCCACTGAGCTGGTGCCTGGGGTAACTTCATGCCAGGGTATCAGCCACACAGGCTGCCTCGCTACCCGGCCAGCCTGGTCCTTGCACAGCCCCGGCCCCTAGCTTCCTTTCCACCTGCTGCAAGGAGCTCGGAGAAGCTGCTTTGGAGATGCAGGGTTTTGAGGCTTTTTGGAGAGCTCAGGAGGGCTTTGGCCCTGATCCAGCATGTGCTTAACTTCAACGGGCCAGTGACTCAGCAGTGCTCCTTGCCACCTGTTAACCTGCACCGCGTTCCTGCAGGACTGGGGCCTCGCGATGATCTGAAGGCAGCTGGGCGCGTTGGGCCGCCAGGTGCAGCAAGCGTGGCGGGGGCAGTTGCTCGCAGATGTGCATCTGGGTCCCGTTGTGCTTGGCAGCGGGGGCCAGGGCTGAGGGTTCCCCTTGCACTCGGGAAGGAGCTGCCTGGCCAGGGCCCTGGCTCCTCTGCCCCTGTTTGGATCCTGTGGGGAGGGGTAGAGCAGAGAGGCGCTCGGGCTCCAAACCTTGCTCCCCTTCCCCTGGTGCGCCGGCAGCTGCAGCGCCTGCTCACATCTGCCTCTTGATGCCTTTATCTCCTCTCTCCCCCCTCCCACCCCACAATGCTGACCTTGGGATCTTGCACCGTCCTTGTCTTGGGTGTCCATTTCTGTCGTCCCTCCTGGGCAACAGACCAGCCAGTAAAAAGCACCCTCACCTGCCCAGGTAAGAGGGGTCCGGGGAAAAGTAGGGGTGTGGGGGGCAGGGCCATTTCCTTGTGCCCCCGCCGGCTGTGTTGGAGACTGGGTTTTCAAAGGGAAGCAGATCATTTCAAAGGGCATTTGGGTCACCGTGAGCATCCCGTGTCCCTCAGCCCTGGGTTGGAGGGCAGGCTGGCTGCCAGGGGGAGATTACATCTAGGCCCTGGGTGCAGGATGGGACTGAGTGGCACAGAGGGAGGCGACAGGCTTTCAGGTCCAGGCCCAGCACTGCAGGCCAAGAGCCCGTCTTGTGTGCATGCCCTGTCTGGGAGCTGCAGCTTGAGTTGGCATCACCTCTCAGCTGCCGGCATCAGCGCTCCCTGCAGCCGTCGCTCCGGCCAGCTCTGCTGTGGGAAGGTGGCCTCGGTCCAAGGAGCAATCGCAGGTGCTGGCTGTGTGGTCCCCTGCACAGGCGAGGTTGTTGGGACTTGGTTGCTTCTGGACAGGGCCTGACTGCGCATAACACCCCCCACCCCCGCCCCAGGAGCCCTTGCTGAGAGAGCCAGCATGGGGCCGAGCTCCCTTCTTGCCCCCAGACTTGGCCAGTCCCTGCAGGGCACTGGACTAGGATAGAAAAGATTGGGGCAGGAGGGTGAAAGTAACTGTCCGTTGTCTGTCTGTCTTTCTCTCATCCATCCCTCGCTGCTTTGTGTTCTTCCATCAGCCCCATTGCAGCCTGGTAAGCTCTGGTGCCGGGCGTCCGGCTGGCGTGTGTATGTGTGTGTGTATCTGTTTGTCACTCTCACTGTGCTTACGCCATGGACCCCGCATCGCTTCTCCCCCCGCTCATCCCTTCCATACTCACAGACCTCGGTGGCTCCATGTCGTGGCACGGGGGGTGCCCGATGCTGTCCCCAGGCCTGGGCCGGGGTACTCCTGGTGCCCAGCCTTGCTCCGAGCCTGTGCTCGCTTTCAGTCTACCTCAGGCTGGTGCTGCGGTTTGCCACTTCCTGTGTGAGGTGAGGGTGTCTCGAGCAAGCGGAAGGAGAGCCCCATTCGTCACGGGCCCTCTGTGATGACGTACGTCTTGCCCCCTCCAGGTTGAGTAGCCTGTCTTCTCTGGGAGATTCGGCTCCAGAACGCAGGTCTCCCGGCCATCACCGCCAGCCGTCCGACTCCACCGAAACAACAGGTAACTTCTGCCCGCCTGCTGTCCCCACGGGTTGGGGCTCTGAACATATCATCCCGGGTTTTTACCACCCTGTCAGCCTGTCCCTGGGGAGTCCTGTCTCTGTGACTCTCCCATGAGGTGAGGCAGGGCAGTGCTATCACTCCTGGGGAGCCTAGAGGCAAAGTGCCATGACCAAGGCCATTTAGGGAGCCTGTGCAAGAGGAGGGTCCCTAATTGGGTCTCCAGCCTGATGCCCTGCCCCAGACCCTGTTTGGGGACCCCTTGTGCAAAAGGCTGCCCCTGGCTGTTGACGGGTACCAGGTCATTCAGGCCGGGTTATCGACAGTGGCTGGATGTGACACTAGACCCAGCACTGTTAGCTGCAGACACCAGCCATGCTTGGGTAGCCCTTTGGCCTGTTCTTACCAGGAGCTGAAGTTTTCATGGGAGTGGGTGTCACCAGGCCTCACTCGTGTTGCATGTGCCTGTGTGCACAGTGTGAGGAGAAACAAACCCCGTCTCACAGCAGGACCACCCCAGCTCCAATGACCCCAGCCCACCAGGACCCTGGGCCAACACGGAGCATGGATTTAACTCCGTGCTCCCTTGTTTTTCCTTCCCCCTGCACCCACAGGCTTGGTCCAGCGCTGTGTCATCATCCAGAAGGACGAGCATGGCTTCGGCTTCACAGTCAGCGGGGACCGGATTGTCCTGGTGCAGAGTGTGCGGCCAGGTGAGTGCCGTCCACGTCCCCCTCGCCTCTTTGGGGCAGAGACGCTTGTGTGCAGCTGGGGCTCCCCTCGTTTGCTCTGACCCCATGATGGGTGGGAAGAGTGTGTGGTCTGTTGGATGAGATCGGGAGCCTCTGGTGTGTGGTGGGTGGGTGGGAGGTTGGGGTGAGGAGGGCAGGGTTGATGGGTGCAAATAAGGTCATTTGTGGGGGATGGCTCTGGAACAGACCTTCCTATATCCCCACTAGTCCAGGCTGGGAGTTGCCCATAGTTGTCTGCTCCCCAGCACAGCAGCTGAGTTCCCATCCCCACCCCCCGCTTCTCTGCCCTGCAGGCAGCGACAGGTTAACTGCGCCGCGCTGCCCGCCGGTTATATAATCGCAGCAAGCTGCTGACGGCGGGG